GGATTCTATATATGAACCTCAAAAAAAGGAACTACTTTAGGGCCTATGGCTAGGGTTTAGGGTTTAGGGTTTCGGGTTTAGGAGGTGTTTAGGGGTATAGGGTTTAGGGTTTTAGGAGGGGTTTGAGGTTTCACGTTCGCGTAAAGGTCTGGATTTCAGAACTTCGGGTTTGGGCTCTTGGGGTTGGATTTTGACGTCGAGATGTTAGGATTTGAGATACCTTTGGCAGTTCTGAAGGGCACCTTGTGGCCGTTATCGTGGTTCACGCAGCATTTTAGGGGGTTTGGGCTGTTTATTGCTTAGGGTGTCGGCTGGTTTAGGGGCACTACTTGGGAGACTTTTCCTGTTGCTTGAAATGCGATGTCTCGTCTCTGTCTCGCTCTTTCACTCTACAGAGAAACTTGCACCTGCACAGCTTGCTTGCAGAGAGCTGAGCGGAAACGTTGAGAGCTATCTTGAATCTAGGATTACCGTTATAGGGGCCTTATAGAAGGTCTATGTACCTTATGGAAGCCTTATAGAAGCCCTATATACCCTAAACTCCCCACCTGTGGCTTCCTTTAATTGAAGGATACCTACGTTTCCAGGACAAGCTTCTCAACTGAAGGTTTCCAGGTTTCCATCAACCCCTACGATAGCAGCTTAAACAATTGGAGTGAGCCACTGTACAGGGACTTCACAAACAGAATACTCTTGCTAGTGATTCAGACAACCCTAAACCTTTAAGCCCTAATCCCTAAACCCTAAACCCTTAACCCCGAACCCTAAACTCTAGGCCCTATAAGCTCCAAAGGCTACACCCAAAAACTCTACGCCCCAAGCGCCTAAGTCTGAAGCCCTGGCCCCTCGAGTCTAAGCCCCACGCCCCCCAACTCAAGAGCTGCGTCCTGCCCTAAACCCTGTAAACCTTGATCCCGAAACCATAAGCCCTAAACCCCCCTAAACCCTAAACCCTGAACCCTGAACTCTGAATCGTAAACCCTGAACCCTGAACCTTAAACCCTTAAAGCCCCAAACCCTAAACCCTAAACCCTTAAAGCCCCAAGCCCTAAACCCTAAACCCTTAAAGCCCTAAACCCGAAACCCTAAACCCTTAAAGCCCTAACCCGAAACCCTAAACCCTTAAAGCCCTAAACCCTAAAGCCACCCCCAAATTCGACGCGCCGGAGGCTTTCACTTTTGCCTCCGTCGTGAGAACCATGGGCCGGGCTGCCGGTTTAGGGTTTAGGGTTTAGGGTTTAGGGTTTAGGGCTTAAGGGTCTCTCCCAAACTTTCTTGTTTGATAGTTTAGGGTTTAGGGTTTAGGGATTAGGGTTACGGGATTTTTGCATTGAGATCTTGTGGTACT